TCCAGGACAGGCTCTAAAGCTATACAGAGAAAACACACCAATGGCAACCCCTGAGTTTCTTATTAAGAGGGTATTTAAAAAGAATTCTATGACTAGAGCTTGAGCTAGGCAACTTAAGAGAGAGTGTAAAAAAAGCAGAATTCTGCCATCAGGAAGTAGAAAAGAGTCTATGACTGGACATCTTGAGAAATCTTACAGCATGAAATTAAAGTGTAACTGGTAAAGAAGCAACAGTCACTCCAGTCTTGGGGATCTGTTTCCACACGGAGTGGTTTTGTGATCTTATGCCCATAAATACAGTGGTGTTATTTAATGCTGATATTCTGTACAATTGTTTATTGTCAACAGGACACCACAGTGAGCCCCAAAGCAGTACCTGGCAACACAAAGGCCTAAACCCTGCTTTTCTCTTTATTCCTAAAAGTGTGCAACAATTTATACAAGACCAATTCAGCCACAAAATTATGCACAAATTACTGAGTGGATAAAGGGGACTAGATTGGTAGGCAAGACCTAGATATAAAACACAGTAAGAACGTTTATAATTTAAGGATTAAATTCCACCCCCCAAATCAGCAAAAAGAAGGTTAATGGGATTCCAAACTATCCAGACACTCTATAAAATGTACAGTTACATTTTCCATGGCATTATCATCAGGTACTTTCCCCTAGTAGCTACTATCATAGTATGCAGATAAGAAATAGTTTTCAGGAAAATAGTTTCTACAAAAGACCTGGACTAGAAACCCATTATTCATCATTTACTGATTCTGGTTAACAAAAACAATATGTTCTTTAACGATGTCTAGGATTCCTTATTTATAAAATGGAAATACTTACTACAGTGTTATGAAAAAATTCATCACATATGTAACAGAGTCTGATACTTATCACTATGCCAGTTACTTTACTGTCACTGTATTTTCATAGTCTCTGTATAATTAAACATTCACTTTTTAAAAAGCATCCAGACTGGAGGTACAGCTCAGAAACAGAACATGTACTTAGCATGCATAATAGTCTCAATCAATTTCCAAAGGTTTAACCTTTTCAACCTACTTTACCTATTTTAAGATCACAAAAAAAGAAAAAGGCAAGAAAAAAATGGAAACAGGGTGATAAGAGAAAGGGAGGGAAAGGCTTTAGATGTAAAGTATAGTGAGATTTAAATCATTATTACCTGATCCTTGATTGTCATAATCCAAGTCAACACAAGGGGAAATGTAAGACAGTACACATATTCTCCCCAATATGAAAGCATGAGAAATAGAACATGACTCCCCTTGTAAACCAGGATATATTCTAGACTGCAAGGGATGCTAGATTTGTAGAGAAGGTGGATAAAATACATGATCCTTGACTTACTATTTATATCACATCCCCTGCCACAAATGACAGATTAGTCAGTCTGGGATTTGGGAAGCAAATGAGATAGTTTTAAAGGATTCAGTAAAGATACCAACAATTTAATTATGTCCGGAGCTTTCATCAGCTATATAGTACGTCCCAGCATAGCCTGATCATATTATATAGCAAGACATTGTCCAAAAAATAGCATTCTTATTGTTGTTGACATTGGGTTTTGGTATGTATGTCTATTTGTTACTGGGCTGGGGTTGTAGCTTAGTCAGGATATCACTGACTAGCAGGTGTGAGCCACTAGATTCCATCCTCAACACCTGGTGGGGAGCTGACTTTGTTTGGTATGGTGGCTCATTAATAATCCCAGTACTTTGGAGGGTGAAGTGTGAATAACAGCTTAGGTTATATAGGGAGACCCTATCTCAAATATATCATACCCCCAAAAATGTTAAAACTATGGGGGGGTCAGCCTGCAGAAAATGACTCTACAGCAGGAAAAGAGGACTAGGGAACGGAGCCTCAGAGAGAAATAAGAGAAATAAGGCAGGAAGCAAGGGAAGGCCCCTGTGAAAGAACTATAAGCAGACAAAAGGAAAGACAAAGTTCCTCGTCAACCCACCAAGAAAGGGCCTCACAGTTGTCTTCTCCTTAGCAGATGACATTCACATGAACTGACTACAGGTACATCCAAACTTTAACAAATCACTCCAAATTTTGCTTAAAAGCATATGCTATGTTGCTGAGGGAAGAGCATGAGGTTGGAGAACAGGGAGTGAATAAATACATGACAGCATTTAAAGCTTGAGCTTTTATCAATACACCCTTAACAGTTACGGCAGGCATACATGAAGTAGCTTTGGCTATGCGGAATTGCTAATACACTTCTGTCTCCTACTCAAACTCTTGGGTCTACTACTCAGGAAGTACATGACAGTATACTCAGAATGATGTTTAAAACCCAGTTGTGGAGGGCTGGTGAGATGGCTCAACCATCAAAGGCTAGGCTCACAACCAAAATGATAGTATGGAATTTGCTCAAGTTTGTAATAGTTAAGCAAAGCTTTTATGAAAACCACATTCGAGGAAAAGTGTTTGTTTTATCTAAACCTATCTGCTCCCTTCCCAGATCACCCCTGGGCAAGGAGATCCAAAAGATCTTCTCAATGGGAGCATGTCAGCAGATACTTCACACCGGAAATTTCACATAAAAATAAGGGGAAAAAAGACAGTGTCTCCCCCTACTTTACTCGGGGCTCCTTTTTGCATATCAACATAACAAGTCATCTTCCACATAAAATTCAACTTCTTCTCGTGTAACTGGTTTTCTATAAAGCCTGTGGAAGGAGACAGAACTAATCCAAAGTTTTGTCCTCTGACCTACACATACATGCTGTGGCCTGAGCTCCACCCCCACCCCACCCCTCCCCGCGCGCTCACACACGCGCGCACACACACAACAACAAAAAAAAAAACAACAAAAATGTATATTCAAATTCCAAATAAAAATACTAAAATCAAGAAATAGAAGGTTTTATTTCATCAAGCAATCACAGTAAGAAGAAATAAATCACAGCAGGTTTTCATTGAGATACGGAGAAGATTGAAGTCTGACTTGCAGAGTGTGAAAA